TGCGTTTCAATAGTACAGCGTGGAAATACTAGCGTGCTGCCTGGTTTTCCTCAAAAATAACTAAGGCGAGGTGGGGCAACTCATGGAAGTTACTCACCTTTCCCAGCTGGTTCTCCGAGCCAATAGAACTACTTTGCTAACAGCTGTGAACAATTTGCTGTGAGTTTAATAAATGTAGAGCATGTGTTAATACTCTACAGGAATGTGTCCTGTCTGCAGAGGACAGGCATTTGAAAAGCTCTATAAGGAAAATCAGGCACTTGTGCAATACTTCCGTCATTGCATAGTGTTTGCTGGACAATGTTTTGGTGAGCTGCAGTCCTAAGCAAAGCAAACCGTTTGTCTGTGGCAATTGGTCACTTGTAGGCCTCTGCTCAGCTCTTACTGTTTAGATTATGGGGTCTTTTGCCTCCCTGGATGATCATTATCCCTCTAAATGATCACTGAAGATGTATGCTGGGTGAAGCCTCTGCTGACAGATGGAGCGCTTGCTGCAGCTCTGTTTATCTTCAGTGCCAGCTCTCTGCGCTCAGCCCTTGAAGGGAGTCACACAGCTCCCTGGCTCAGGATGAGCTAAGCTGCAGTGTAACAGTGCCTGGGACTTAATTGGAGAGACTGTGATTGGCACTAAAATTGACAGAACAATCCTCTTAGAGCAGCATATGGTTGAATCAGCATTAAAAACAAACATCAAATAACAAGATTCATGGTGAATGTCTACAGGACCTTTGTTCAGCTTCCCCAGCTTCCTCAAAGCATATCTGGGTCTTGGCCTCCAAATTGCACCTATCTTGAGTGCCTGCCTGCTTGCTTCTCCAGCTCTGTTCATATAAAGCTAGCTACCACATAGCAGTGTTTTCCTTCCACTTGCTCATAAAAAGTTCTGAAATTATTTATTTGAAAATGTTAATTTGTTCTCAATTGTTCTGTCTTATGTGCACAGCAAACCTTCTGCCTTCCTACTGCTCCAAGTCTTGATGAACTATTCACATCTCTAAAGATGTAACACCCGGCAAAAATAAAACCTAAAAACTTCCCTTTCTCAGGTTGCGGAATCTGGGCATTGTACCCTGACTCTCCAGACAGATGGTACTCCAGGCACCAATGAGCACACTTCAGGAGAGAGTTCATCTGCATCTGGTTTTCGCTTTGCTTTGAATACTCAGATTGTCCCAGTCGTCTTTATTCTCTGTTTCTAGTTCACCTTTGTGAATGCCTTTTTCCTGCATACCACTAACATGCCATTACCAGTATGCATCTACTGAGAGTATCTACTGAAGGAGAGCACTTTTACCTACAAACAGACTATTCCTTCTCATCTGCTACTGTCCTTTTTAACATGTCAGCACAGCTGTATCCTGCTAAAACAGTAGCTTTGGGGGTTGTAAATGTGCTGCCTCAGTCACTGTCAAAGATAATTCTCTGTCAATGTCTAAGTACATATTGTCTAACAATTTCTCATGTAGTCTCTCCCTGCAATCTTAACACTAAACTTTCCTCCATGGGTAGCACCAGCACCCCCCAGGGAGATGGACATGGATGATACTTGTGTGATCTGCATGTGCATCTCTGCTGCCTTGCTGCCTTTAACAGGCAACTTTTGGCTCTGAGCTTTGACTGGCAGTTCTCACTTGCTAAATCTCCCTAATAAGTGTGAAAAACAGAGAAGTGCAAACACTGTGTTGAAGCAAGCAGCCACCACTTAAATGAAAGCATAACAGACATCTCCAGGTGAGAAGGTGTTGCTTTCATAGTGATAGTACCTTGAGAAATTAACATGTCCCTCTTTTAACTGCCATCTTCTTACGACTAAAGCTGCTTTAATTCACTTTGAGCCTGTTGATAACACCCTATTTATGTCCTTAATAGAGTAGCTCTCTGGAACATTTTTCACCTTCTTCAGCCTGATTCTCTTTTCATTTTTTATGCAATTTGGCAATTAACTTTCCCCTTCCCATTCCTTTGGATGACCATTAACTACTGTACCATGGGTACTTTGCTCTCAAAGATGCAGTCACCCCCAAATCTCTTTCTGCTTTGGCACTTCTGCTGTTCAGGGACTTGACCCTTCTGAGGGGGTTATTTGAGTTTTTAAAGTCTATTACCTTGTACCAGCTCCCAGGGAGCAATTCAACCTCTGTGTGAGTCTGTAATGAGAACACGCTGCTGCTCTCTATCGTCAGCAGGCAGATGAGCTAAAGTTGATGGCCTTATTCTGTCTATTCAGATGGTTGGATCTCAGCTCTGTAAAACATAGTTGAGTTGATCAAGAGTGAGGGGAAAATGACATTCACTTGCCCAAAGAAGTTGTGAATGCTCCATCCCTGGATGGAGCCAGGTTGGACAGGGCCTGGCCAGGTTGGACAGGGCCTTGGATGACATGGTTTAGTGTGAGGTGTCCCTGCCCATAGCAGGGGGTTGGAACTAGATAGTCTTAAGGACCTTTCCAAAGCTAACTATTCTATGATTCTATGAGCTTGCATATGCCAGGTATGATCATTCACCTGCAACTAGTGTTTGGGTTCTAAAGCCTCCTTCAGTTTGAGAGTTTTTAAGAACTCAGATTATTTAAGATTATTGTTTCAGGCAATTGTAGGACAATTTAAGTGCTCATTTTTTCTCCAAAATACAAGCTGCTGCCAACCTCCTTGCTGTGGCCACCTCCCCAGAGATGTGTGAAAGCAGTGTGAGTTTCATCAGCATGCTGACTCAGCAGTTCCTGTTTCCACAGCTGAAGCAAACCACAGCAGGTCAGGACAGCAGGGTGAAAGAGTATATGTAACATAGGCCCTGCAAAGTGCATAAACACTGTGCTGCTGTTGGAGAAAGGAAGCACATTACCTCCCTGAAAACGTTTGTTTTCTGGTATCGTGGCATGCAAGATGTTGCCTTTAAAGTCACTGATAGTTTAGCACACCAAAAATGCTATCAGGATTGGACACTTTTAGAAGGTTGCTCTGCCTGGATCCAGTCACAAGACCTCACATTTTCGTGTGTTTACTAGTGCCAAAGTCTAGCTCAGCCTCCAGCCCCTAGACACGCTCCTGGTTGTAAATTCCCTCCCTCCCTCTTTCTCTTCCTGAAAAATTGTGAAATTGGTGCAAAGTCTCCCATGCTTCCCTCAGAGGAATGTTGCACAGACACTGACTTTAACAAAGCTCTGGAGTACTTTCTCCCTTTCTAGAAGCCAAATCCTAGCTGCAGGCAGGACAATCATGCACTGCTTTGCAAAAGGTTCTTTAAAACAGTTGTACTTCAAACCCTGATACAGGACTGGCAGAGCTATGGAAAGCAGCTAACCTGCAGGCAATCATTTCCATGCCCAGTGAGAGCCCTGCTGAGTTCCGTTGCCTGTAGAGGGGTTATCTACAACAAGGACCAGACAATTTCACTCGTTACCATGTGACAGGCCAGACTGACCCACAGGCAAGAGTCCAAAGGAGTCTGTAAGCTGCTGCAGCTTTAGTTGTAAGCCTTATGGGTCATTCAGTGGATTTGCCATAAAGGCAGAACTCTTTGCTAGCAAGGGCTGTCACCATTTCCCTTCATCTCAGCACAGATCTCCCATCACAGCACGTCCTCCCAACTTTTAACAGCCAAGCAGATCTGTATCAGTGTTTGCTATTTATCCCATATGGAGCCTGGAATAAACACATCACATGGTATTTCCCCAGTGCGTAGACAGGAGGAAGCTGTTTGCCTCTACGTGACTCTTCAGCTAATCAATGACCCGAATGCAGTATGCCGTGCTTAGGAACCTCATGTGAATTTGTGACCCTCTTTAGGGAGCGTTAGGTCTGTAAAGACAGTAAACACAAAGTATCGGCAGTTTTTCCATTTGTGAGCTCCGTGAGTTTTGCTTGCAAGCTGATCTATGTTGTGTGCATGGGTCAGAAGAAGGTAAAGAGAAAACATGGTACTTGGTTTTGTGTCCATCTTGTAATGCTCCAATCGTGCAATGACACAGAAACAGAGACATTACCTACATAAAAGCCTGGCAAAGGTTTGAAACTTTACACTAAAGGCAAATCAGTAATGCCATTGCTCTTAGGACTGCATGCCTGACCATAATGCTGTGTCTTTGGGCAGCTGGCCATCTCCTGGTCAAAACATGAAAGTAGCTGAGCACACACACTACTCATTCTTTGATTTTGCTGGGACATGCTGCTACAAGTAAATCAAGAATATACATAAGTTCTTCAGGACATAGGTCCCTAATTTCATATGTTTTAGATAACAGTGTAATGTGGGTGCTGGCTTGACCACGTTCATGCACACAGTAAACAAAACCCACCCAAATACCTCCAAAAGGTGGAATCCTACTGAGGCAGAAGCATGTAGGATCGATGTATTGGCTCAAACAGGCACTTAGGACACAGGTCTTATCCTTCAAACCTTGCTCCTAGCTGCCCAGGCTATGCCATTACACATACTTTGGGCTGTTTTCCGTTCAAGACCCAAAAACATTAACAAAAGTTTTGTTTCTAGAAAACTTAGCCAAGCTGACAGGGAAAAGGAAGCAGAGTCTATTGCTTGTCTGGCAAAGCTATCTCTGTGTGAGTTAATTGAGGTAAGATGCACAAATGCCTTTTGGGGCATCATGTAGAGAGGAGTAATTGACCTTCCCACACCTTGGCATACTGCAAACATAAAAAGGGAAAAGCAAGTACCTCTTCCTCACTGTTTAATTACATTTTTACTCCACTGTGTGTGTCCCTGCCTGCTGCCTTGCCGTTCCCCAAGCTCCACTACCCCTCCCCTGCTGGCTGCTATCAAGGCCATGGGAGGCAGGTAGGGAAAACGAAGTGTGTAGAGAGCTCTGCGGACAAATAGAGCATCAGGAGCTGGGGTGAGAGGAGATCTTGCTTAACAGTCTCAGGGGTTTTCAGCCTTCCGAGAAGGCGGGGCAGGTCCCGGGGAAGGCACAGCACACCTCTTCCCTCCAGCGCTCCCTGCCAGCAGGGCAATGGAGGCCAACAGGTTATAGAAAGCAGAGCTGCCAACGCAGGTAATGGGCATAGCCAGGGAGCCGGTGAGGGTCTGAAGAGGATGAATCCCTGGAAAAGCTACCGATGTTCATAGTTTTGGTCGTTAGCACTTGGGAACCTGAAAACCCTTCCCTGTAATGAGGTTATCTCGTTAACTCTGGCTGTGCTTAACTTCCACTGAATACCGGCGACAGAAGGACCGCAGGTCCGGGCGGGGGGCACGGCCTTTACCAGCACCCCCACGCCTCCTGGAACAGCCACCCCACGGGAAACCCTCTCTCCGACGGCCGGGCAGGGCCCGACAGAACGGGCACCACGACCCCGGGAGACGGGGGAGTGACGGCGGGACGCCCGGGCCGGGCGGGCTGTCAGCGGGGCCGGGACATGTGCAGCGGCGCTGGCGGCGGGGGAGCGGCGCCCCAGAGCCGAGCCGCGCCGCTTCCTGCCTCTATAAATAGCCGTCCGGCCCAACATGTCCCGGCCGTCGCAGCGGCTGGAGCGCCGGCGGGAGCTGCTGTCAGCTCCGGCCGCCTAGCCCGCCCGGAGCGCGGTAAGGGGGCGCCGAGCTGCCGGCCCCGGTGGGAGGCGGACAGGGCTTCACTTCCCGCTCTCGGCGGGGCGCGGGGTCTGTGAGGAGCGGGCAGGGCCCCTGCGGCGGCCCCGCTGGGGCGGCTCGGCTCGGCGCAACCCCCGGCCCCGCGGGACCAGCGGGTACAAGGGTCGGGGCGGGCAGCGGCTGCCCCTGGCCCGGGAGCCGAGTCTCGCTTCGTGCTTGTTTTCTCTTTCTCTCTTCCAGACTGCTCTGTCTCGGGCTGGGACGCGCTTCTCCTGCCTTCCGAAGCCAGGGCTGAGATCCTTCCTTGCTTCCCCCTTGCTTTCCCGCTTTCCCCAGGGTTGGGTGCGTGCCCGGGATGGAGGATGGTGCTGGCCTCCGAACGCAGCCCTCGGTCCCTCTTGGCGGCTGACCGTGCCTCTGCATGGGCCTCCGAGGAGGTGGCTGCTGGCATCCGTGTCCACCCGTGCTGTGGCACCCTGGCTGTTGTGACAGGGTGGGGGGACCTGCATTGGGGTCATGGCACAGGCTGCTACCCACATGTGTGGCACCTAAGCAGGGTGTCATTACAGTCGCTCATGTAGGTGTTTGTGTTTCAGCCTTCCTCCCTCAAGTGGTTTCATCTACAGCGAATGTTGAGACGAGCCTTGTAGTTAGCCTTTACAATGAAGGCAACCAAAGTAGGTCTATGCCCTGCGAGCTGGCTCCTGGGGGCTTTTTGGAGGCATCAAGTCTGGAAACCTCAAGTAAACAGTCTTAAGGTTTAGGTTGTCTTCCCCTTTGTTTAACTCTGCTGTTGTAATGGCTGTGCTTCATCTTTTAATAAACACCTTGTGCAGCGCAGGGCTACATCCTTTCTCTGAGAGTAGGTGTTCTTCAGCTGCTACCACGTGCCATGCTCGGGCCTATTACTTAAAATGGAAGTGATACAGCATTTGGCTCTGGCACTAAGGTGTGCTTCTTCAGGAACCCACTGTGAGCTACTTTTAAGTTGCTCTTTTATTCTTGAAATATTTTCTCAAAGAGAAGGCTGTAATAAGCAGCTGTTCTCAGTTGTCTTGACCTCCAGAGTGTAGACAGTGTGTTTTGCTCCTTGTTTACACCCTTTTCTGCTCTCTTTCTGCTTTTCCCTCTCTTCTGGTGGCTAGCTCTTCCAAGTCTGATTTGGGAGCACAATGCAGAGGCCTAACAGGCCATGGTAAAAAGAAAGAGGTGCTGTCAGAGTCTCGTCTCTGCATGCTGCCCACAGGGTGCCCTGCCTGGGAGCCTTCGATAGAGGCAGGAGGGAGGGCAACACTGCTGTGAAAGGACCCCATCTGGCAGCACACCTTTCCCAGTGGTGTGGAGCACGAGGCAGGCTGAGCTGGCGTGTACATTCCCCTCTGCCGGAGTGGGCGAGGGGAAGGAGCATGTGAGGAGGAAATACAGCTGTTCAGAGCACTTCTGCCCTCCGTGCAACGGGAGCACGTGAGGAGAGGACAGGCGCAGAAAGGGAAGTTCAGGAAGAGAGTATGAGAGAGAATCGGGGGAGGACAGAGGAGAGATACAAGTGGAGAGGGAAAGCTTTTTACATGTGCGCAAATGCTGTTTAAAGATCTGATTAGTTAGGGCAAGAACAAATATCCTGAAAATCCAAGATTGTATCTTGGGTCCCTGTTATTGTCCTTCCAGAAAGCACTGCTTTTCATTCCTCAAGTATTATCTGTGCCTTTCTGCCGCACTCTTTTAGGCTCTTCAGCATCCTCTGACCTCAAGCCGAGCAAGACATTGCCCTCAGCATCTGCCTGTCAAATGTGTATCTCTCCGTGTTGTACATGAAATTACTATTTCCATAGTTGGTTAGTGCAAATTTCCAAGAAATGTGGAGTGAGAGGCACGTCAGTTCCTGTGGTTGGCCTTGACTGGAGTGTGAGCTCCTTGGGGCAGGGGCTGTACCCTGGAGGCTGCAGTTACTCTACACATTACCCTTGGTATCTTTGGGATTTCTGCCTCCATTCCTGTCCCTCCCACACTTCTCTCATCTCTTGTTGCTGCTCACCTGTTCCTCCCCCTGTGCATCGGCTCATTGTTGGGCTTGTGTTGTAAACCAAATTGCTGAAAGATTCAGCGATCTAGGTTTAAAATCGCTGGAAAAGGAGGGAGGCGAGGAGCAGCAGCTGCTCCTGTCTGTACAGAAGTCCCCTACCTTGCTTTGAGATCACACCTCAGCAAATGGGAATTAAAACAGTTGAATCTCTCTGTGTCCTAACTTCTGCTGCCTTAGTATTTTCACTGTAACTGCACTTTTAACTTTCTACAGCATTAATTTACTCTCTGAATGGTATAAGGTGGAAAGGTGCTGTCTTTGGGGGCTGTGTTGCTACAAGACTATTAGAAGGCTGTAAGACCTTGCTCTTTTCTCTCTCTCCTCTTTTTTTTTTTTTTAAGAGAAACAGTTATCACAAACTTGTACCAGGCTGTTAGTGCTTTTATTCATGCAGCAGAGTCAGAACTGAAAGTGTGCATGTAGAAAAAGGTATTAGCTATAGAAGGAGCCATTTCTCACCTACGACAGCGGGCATGACCTTTACATCTGATGACCTCCAGACCCTGTTCAGTGGAGAGGCCACTGAGGAGCACAAGTAATGCTAATCCCTCTGTGAGTGAAACATGCTGCAGTATTGCTCTCTGTTACCTACAGTGCATAGCTCTAACAGTTACTAGTTTTCTGCCTTGTATAAACACCATGCTTTTCTGGAGAGAGAAAAGAGTGTGTGTTGGTGTTGTCTGACAAATGTGACTCGAGGATGGGAATTCATAGGTTTCCTTTGGAGGCACATATGTTGTTCTTAGTGTATATATACGATTTAGTAAAATGTCTTTATGCAGCAGCCTTTAGAAATGTTCTGTGCTTTTAAGTACACTGAATCCCCATCTGGATAATGGGCTAATATATAGAAACCATAAGAAATAGTGGTGCAATGGAGAGGGGAGGGTTTCTTTAAAGTTTATACTTTTGCATGGTAAAAATATCTTAATTGTGGCTTCACAACAATGAAGTCTTTTAAGATGCAAGTCTAATTAAATGTTTTTGTGTTCTTCCTTGTGACTTGTCTTATTCTTGGCTCTAATGTGGACACTTTCTCATTGTGCGGTGCACTCTAATACTTGGTCTTTTGGATCCCTTATAAAAAGGGAGTGTCAAGTATCTTGGTTCAAAATCTGTGGTGCTAACTGTATTTGAGTAGGGGTAGGGAAAGCATTCTTTCTATGGGGAGATAGTTAAGGTTTGGTTTGGTAGGACAGGTCTTGGTAGTACCAAAGATGGTGGTTGTGGTCACAAATCTTTAGGGGGGGCTGTTTTGTCTGCCATTGGGTGTGGAGTTAACACCTACTTGTTGTTTAGTCTTTACTTCAAAGATGTGTATGGAAATGGGTCTGTTACTGAGTAATAACTGCTGAACTGTTAGTTGGCAAAGAGCCTAAAAAAGATATCATTAAAAACTAAATTCAATAAAGGTGCCTAGAATTATGCTTCCACTTCTATGTAGTGGAAGGTTTTGTTTTAAACTATTTTGGACACTTGTGGTGACCAGTATGATAGCAGTGTAGTGCTGTCATGTAGCACCAGCTACATGTGTTTATATGTCTAGATACCTGACTAGGAGGAAGGGGAAGGAAACTGACAAACAGCTTACTCTGCTAGTACTGTGTTGTGATTCCCTGCAAGCATTGTGCCACTGATGCTGAGTTTTAAGTGAAATGTGAATTGGGAAGAGACTGTTTTTTTCAGTGGAAATAGCCCTGAGCATCAGGGCTCCAAAAGATCCTGCAGCCGGTCTGAATTCGGCCTTGGAGTCATGCAAGTCTGAAAGAGCAGCTGTCCTTGGGCCTCATCCAACTTGGTTTACAAAGATCAGTGAAGAGTGTCTCTAAGGCTGGAGTTGCAAGTGGTGAGGGAGCAGTTTTGTCTAAATCTGAGAGATCAAAGGAGTTCTGAATAGAAAGTGTTTTCCTTATTCCTGGAAGGAGATAAACGGGAAGGAGTAGTTCAAGAGTCTGTTTTGTAACACTTAACTCTGCGGTAACCTTGCTAGTGTTCTTCTACATTTGGTTCCAATTACACCTAAGTTGCTTTGGAGTTAAAATGTATAATTTTGTAGCTCCTTAAACTACTAATGTTGCAGAAGTAAAAGTTCCTAAGATTTAAGCTATTTGTGGCATCCCTCGTCTTAATCTTTTCAGTGTGTGTATGTGTGTAGCTCCTGCTGTTTCCTTCCTGGGAATAAGTCCATGTGGAGGGCCTTCCTGTCCTCCAGTGCATGTTTTCATGAGAGCTTTCCTTCTCATTTGAGCTAAGCTTGAGTACATATCTCCTGCTGAAGAAACTAGAGGATATTCTTTAACAGGAAGTAATATAGAGGTTAAAATAAATGCTGTTAGCAGCTTCAGCAAGCCCAAAATAGCCTGTGCATGTTTCTCTTGTGATAACTTAAGGAAGTGGGGTGATTCCCTCTTCCTCCATCTCTAATAGTTTTGGTGAATGCCATGCTTGGGTGCGGAAATCTTCTTGCTATGAAGAGCAGGCTTCTCTGAACTTTCATGGAATCTGACTTAACAGGACCAGAAATGAGCCCTAAGAAGAATGCATTCCTCAGCTCCTTGTACTGCTTCCTATGAAAATTGCCAGTAAGGTCCTTGATGGTGAGGGTAGCTAACAACTAAAACTGATTGTACAGAGGGATTGTGGAGTCTCTGTCCTTGGAGATGGTCTAAAAAATGGACTGGACAAGCCCAAGCAATCAGCTTTAAGCCAGGTTAGCCATGCTCTGAACCACAGGAGATCCAGTGGTTCCTTCCAGCTGGCTGTATGTTGTTTTTTTGCATTACTGGATAAGCATGGCTGCTTTTGTCTGCCCCCAGAACACCTGGGAATAAAAGTGGTCTCAAAACATCCAAAATTGGCCTTGAGAACTCTGAAGAAAGATTTCAAAACCTGGAGTGCATAGAGAAGCTTA